ATTCCATTCGGTGGATACAAAATGAGTGGTATAGGCAGGGAAAAAGGAATTTACAGCCTCAACAACTATCTGCAGGTGAAGGCTGTTGTTACTCCTTTAAAGAATCCAGCATGGTTGTAAAATGTCTGTTGCTGGTGTTATAGTCTTCTTGCTTATTTGTATCTAGTTAATGAAACAGATAACGGTCGAACTGAGTTTTATTATGTACATTTGACATGATTATATGCTCGTTTCGTCATTATTAATCAATAAGGTTCGTGTGTTACTTTTTGGAAAGAGTAATGAAATTTAGCACCACTGATGTTAAGAACTAGTTTAAGCAACTGCATGGCATTAAATGATAAATCCATTTAAATATAATGTTACATGTGTAAAGTTTTGGGCTGCTGAAATTCTTGAGCCCAGTTGATGATCTGCAATTTAAGTGAAAACCCGGCCCAATGATTGGTCCACGTAACTGAAGGTTCGAGAATGGTTGAAATCGTGTTTTTTTGGATAATACAACTTCATTTAAAGTGCGTCCTATGCTGGATTTCTTACATCTGGCACTCGGGTGATCATTAGATCATTTGACTGGACTTATCTCATCTATATACTGGAGCTAACCCTAGAGTTAGGAGACTTTTCTTTCGAACCCTAATCTTGTTGTACTGCAGCATTTTCTTCTTCATTCTCTTTATCTTCTGGATGATCTTTCTGTGTGATTTCTAGGTGAAATCTTGTAATAGTATAATAGAAGTGATGAGATTCATCTCTTGGTGAGATTAGTGTATGATTTATGAGGGCCTTTGTGGTTGAGAAACGACAAAACATTTTCTTCCTTCTGTAACTTGGTTTTGCTCAATTTTGGGGCTGTAATAGTGGATTTGAGTGTAATTCTAACCGATACTCAACGGGGAATGTGGGCGTTAGATTTCGTCGTCGAGCCTCCGGGGCCATAGGCCGAAACTCTTCGTGTTCTTTAATTTCTTGCCATTTATTTTCTGTAATTTTTATTAAATCGATTGAGTCACAAAAGTTCCTATCTCGTTTGGGACATACAACATGATTCATTTAATTAAACATATCATGTATTGTAATCTAAACTGGTGCTTTAGCACCATTGGTGTTAAATAACACACTGTAAGTCAATGAAAACTTTAGGCACGTGACTTTTAGTTTAGGCACTCTATCTACCCGTATATATTGGATTAACAGAAATAATGACATATCTAAATGAAAAATATGATGCGGCACTTGAAATCTATTAGCACATTACTTTTATCTTCCTGTTAAGTTAAACTCATTAAGATTTTTCTTTTCTTCAATTTCAATTTTTCTCTTTTTAAAAATGCCAATTTCAGAAGCACGGCTAGTCTAATAAGACGCATTTTTATCTAGTTGGACGTCCGCAGGGGTAGAGCCACCTGTCCTTCAGTTGGAGCAACACACCAAAATAGCTACAATATATTATTTTCAAAACATCATAGTTTTTGTCAATTTATGACATGATTTTTGCAATTATGCAAAATAAATTTTTATTTCTCATAATTCAATGTTAATAACATGGAGTTATCAAATTTTCTCCTAAACAAACCCATTATATGGGCTACTTGCCCCGACCAACTTCTGGAGGGGTCAAGTTTTTCAGTAAATTTAGAGCCCAAGTTTGGTCCAACCCACTTGATGCTTTCTTTTGTTTTCATCTCCTCCCCCTTGATTATCAACCCAGTCCAAAAATAATAATATTAATAATAACAATAAAAATAGCCTTGTACAATTTGAGAAAAACGATTATTATCGAACTTCTCCTATAATAATACTTTGTACGAAATAAAATTTGTAATATACGTATATAAAGAATTTAAAAAGAAAAATAGAAACACGAGTATCTTTGAACTGAATATCTAAAATTGTTCATATCCCCAATAAGAGGCAACCCTTAAGAACGAGGCGGCTGAAATACTTGATCGAAATATTATTGTTCTCGCGAACTTATGCATAATCAATTTATGACTCTATATTTCTTTTAAGAAATTTTTGGAAGCATTAAGTCAGCCTCTAATTCCATGTGCCTTTTGATAGTGCTAAACAAGCACTTTTCTTGTACTTTTTCTTGATCTTTTGATGTGTCCTCCTTTAATCATATTGCTTAACCTTTACTTATGTCTTTGGCCAACCCACTAAAGTATTTAATGATTGAACTTTCTTGACATTTCTTTTGCTTTAGAGCTGCGCAAACTTTTCACTTTAGTTATCGAATTGTTTTTATAGTACTCGATTTAACACGTGTTCTTATTGACTTTCGAGATTGCGTTCTTATGGGTCGACAAAGCAAAAAAATACGGTTGCTTGCTTCAACTCCCGTTTGGCACCCATTTTTTTTAAAATACATTTTTCTCTCTCTTTTTTTCAACTATACATTCTTTATTAAAATAATATTACACGTAAATTAAAAAAATTTCCTTATTTTTCAACCACACACTTCCCATCAATTTACTATTCTAAAATATATTTTTACATAAAAATGGCTATCAAACAACCATGAATATATACTACCAGTTGAAAAGAGGAGAATCAACAACAAAACGTAAAGAGATAAATTGAAGACCAAATAAAACATTCTTTTAAATAATTTGACCATCTCTATCAATGTGGGCCCTCATTTCATGGCACAATGTACTAAACTTTGTGGTGTCCTTAATTAATTCTTAGGATAAACAATTCTTAAAACTGCACTTGTAATTATTAGTTGGTCAGTTGTTTTCTTGAGTTCTAGAACTTCATATTCCTTGAGTGGTTCAGTACAAAAGAAGATGCCAAATGAAGTAGCCACCAATTGCATTGTGCATCCTCATCTGTTTGCATATATTTGTATAAAGAATATCCTGGTACTTGAAAACCCTATTCTCCACCGCATATATATAAAGCTAGCTCTAATATCTGTTAGGACCATTGCATTGTGGGGAGTGTTATCATGGTAGTTGATGTTGCGTTGTTGACTTCAATTTTCGTAAATATTCTCTATTAAAGTGCAGAAAAATTACTCATTCAGAGTTGAATGACACTTACAGACTAGAATTGAAGTACGTAATGATATAATAGATATTGATGCCATATTTCTCTCAAACAAAAGTACATGTAAACAAGTCAAATATGCTTAGAATCAAAATTTACTTAAAAGTTTTGTTTGAACTGAAGCCCCATTAATTATTCGAAAAATTAAATATAAACATTTAAAATCAGATCCAGTTGGCACACCAGCTGATCAAAGATAAAAATAAAAAAAATATATCTCATTAATGAATCCCAACAATCTTTAATTGACACCCACTTATTCTGGGAAAATTAAATGCAGATGTGTCCTTACATTGTCTAAAACACAGGAAAAAGCCATACACAATAAATATACTACTGTACACGGTCCATGAATGCATAAATAGGAACGGATTTGATAAATTTTGTAATAGAGTATTAGAGTCGACGTTCGTTGATAACTTGTAATGTCCACCAATTTCACGGTAACTTGTAATCGTGTTTGTTAGGTTCAATATTGTAAATGGCATGTCTGTGAACAAAAGGGACTAAAATGAACGTTTGTAAAATTCAAGGACTTAGTTGCAAATATTTATAGTTGAGTTAGGGTTCAAAATTGAGTGTGGAACAAGGTTAAAGATGAAATAAATTTTCGCTCACCTCTCGCTGATCATCGCCCGAGCGTTAAAAACAAAAAGCTCAGTTTTCGCCTCTCGTCACTCGCTTTTTGCTAGGATGTCGCTCGAGCGACAGTTGTATCCGGCTAAACCCTATGTCACGATTTGAAGAGTTTTACATGGCCCATGACACCTATTTGACCCCAACTATAAATACAGAAGTCATTGACGATTTTTTGAAGGTTATTTATTGTACTTTCACATCTATAACACTTTCATATCATTGTTTAAGAGATCTAAGGCGTAATTCATTGGTGAATTCATCATATTCATTCTTGTGATCTGGCAACCAAGTTTGGAAAAACATCACATCTTTATAATCCAAAACACTTGGCTTCCCTAATATATTGAGAAATAGACTCTTTCATTGGAGATTGAGAAATTTGGATTTCAAGCGTAGAAAAAGTATCATAACAGAAGGTTCTTGGGAATTCCAGTTGGAATAGGCAATCAGTTTAAGATTAGGAGGATAGAAAAAAGATAGCAAATCTTGTGGTCTGCAAGAAGTAGGTCAGGAGGTCTAATGGAGTAGCTAGACAATATCTATGACGGATCGTGAGACTGGAAGATTGATAGCGAACCTTAGAGATTATAGGAATTACTACAGCTAGAACTAGAAAGAGTTGCCAGACTGGAATAGCAATGTGACCTTAGTTGACTATAATGGAGCTAATTGGCTTGTATCTGAAATTTTTCCCACGTTGAGTTTCTCCGTCAATAAATCTTGTGTTTTTACCGCTTTCCATATTATTATTGCTTCATTCAAACTTAGAGAAATTGGATTGTATGTTTAATCATCTAGAAACTAATTAAAAAGTGACTTGTTAATTTAATTAGACAATTCCGCACGTAAGGTCGAACTAATTGGTAACCTATAATGTAAATTTAGTAATTTTAAAGGTTGAAGTAGTGTGTAGCGTCTCAAATCCGAACTCATAAGTAGTATTCAAAGCGTTCTAAGGTGATCTTTCAATGTCTGAGTCTAATCAACTATAGAATAGACTTATAATTAGAAATTGATTTGCTCATTTGATTTTAAGTTTATAATCCTAGCTCATTCATTCATATTTTAAGGTTTTAATAAGTATATTAAGGTATTAAAAAAGAAGAAGCAAAAGTGAGTTTAAAATAAATATACACCTTCATATTTTATTTCAATTTGCTCGACTCATCAAGTTGCTCGAAATAAGGTAATAAATGGTTGTTCCATTTAATTGAGAAAAAGGACGGTGGGCAAAAAATTATACTAAAAGAAAAAGTAATAAAGATCCAATTTTTATTCGCCAAGATTACTATGTTAATGAATAAGATTCATGTGACCTGTTCACTAATGCTTCAGTCTCTCTCTCTCTCTCTCTCCTGCTTTTTCAACCATTTCAACCACCAAATACCTCGCAAAGATTGGAATTTTTTACTCTATTTCTATATTGAAAAAGCATATAACTTTTATAGTCTCCAAAGTTTTCTTGGATAGTTTTCTGATGTTAGGATGGCTTCAAGATTCATCAAGTGTGTAACCGTTGGTGATGGGGCTGTTGGCAAGACTTGTATGCTCATTTGCTACACCAGTAACAAGTTCCCCACAGTCAGTCGCTCAGTCTACTTTCCCTGATTTGTTGTTTTCTCGAACAATTGGGTTTATCAGTTCATGATTTATATAAACAGTTAGTTTTTATGATGCCTTCTTGGCCAATTTCATCAAATACCTAGTGCAATCATGTAGTTCTTTTTCATTTTTTATTACTTAATCGTCCTTAAGCATCTGGATTTTGCAGCTTTTCTCTGTTTTCTCTGGGTTTTTAGGTATAAAGGATATTTTGCTTTTATATATTTCTGGGTTTTTTGCCCTTTTCGTTTAGCAGCATCCTCCTTGGACTCTGTAATTTGTGTTTATCTCCCTCCGATGTTTCCTTGTGTGCTTTTTTGCATTTATGGCCTGTTTGGTAGCACGGATTAGACAGTATTGTGAAAGAAAAAGAGTCCTGTTTACCCAACATTTACTAAATGATTAGTATTTTATTTATTGCAACTTCAGGACTATGTACCAACAGTGTTTGATAACTTCAGTGCAAATGTGGTAGTTGAAGGAACTACAGTTAACTTAGGGCTTTGGGACACAGCCGGTGAGCTTATTCTCACTCCAGAAATCAGTTTATTTTCCAAGTTGATATTTCCCTGCTACTTTCTAATTTAAGAATGACATTCTCCTAACAGTTATTTCCTTCCCAATAAAAATTTCCCTTGTCTGAATCAAATTTATGGTTTTTGGAATTGTGATTCCATCGACAGGTCAAGAAGATTACAACAGATTAAGGCCTTTGAGCTACAGAGGAGCAGATGTGTTTGTCTTAGCGTTTTCATTAGTTAGTCGGGCAAGCTATGAGAATATAGTTAAAAAGGTGCATAATGCTCTGTGTATTTCAAATAATTCTTTTGGTACTTTATATGGAATTTTATTGTATAATATGATTTTAATAGTACTTCTTGGGCAGTGGATCCCTGAACTTCAGCATTTTGCTCCTGGGATCCCGGTGGTACTAGTTGGCACCAAATTAGGTATGTTATATCATCCGAGGCTACAATTATCCTTGCGTTTTCTTTTGAAAATTGTTGGTGTTTTCTTCATTCATCTCCTGTTATATCATGGTTAATCAATTGTCTGTCAAGTTTGGTAATACCACCTCATATTTTCCTAATAAGATCGGTTAATGTGGCTAAATTTGTCCGTTTTGGATTGAGAAAGGTGTTGCGTTTGAAACATGAATATCAAATGTGCAGTGCAGTTAACCACAACCCATTTTTTTATGCACTTTGTAGAGTCTCTCTCTCTCTCTCTCTCTCTCTCTCTCTCTCTGTATAGACACACTTATAAACACGTATACACACATAGTATGTATGTATATACTGGGGGGAGTTTTTTTTTTTTTAATATAGAGAGAAATGAGTCAAGGTAGCAGAGCATGCTTGGCCGATTTTTTTTTTTTTTTTTGTATTTGGAGGAAGATCTATCAGCGAAGTCTACCTAAACTTTAGCAATCCTCAGAAGATATGTGACCCAAACCAACTTCGCAATACCATTAAGAAAATGATATACGAGAGCCACATTCAGTGTAGCTTTGGCATTATTTAATAATCTGAACAATTCTTACCATAACCTCTCTTTTTCTTCTTCTAGCTTGCACGAAAAATAATTCAATGTGGGAATTTTAACATTATGCCTTTCAAATGGGCAAACCACTAGATCGAGTATTTGACATGCTATTTAAGGTTCCTTTTTCTTCCAAATTTGTCATAATTTCTCAATGATGTCTGATAACTGAGATTTTTGTGTTAAAACCCCACAAACAGAAAACATCCTTATGGTTTGAACTCAAAGGTTATACCTTTTTCAGTTTTAATGCTAGTTCTTTATGACCCTCCGGAACAGAAACTATCTGACCACACCTCCATAATATCAATGAAATTTTTTGAAGGGGTTAATCATATCTTTTTCTGTTTTAATGCTAGGCCTTTTTTTTGCTTTTGCTTTCAAAATAAACTGTTTTATCGTAAAAGTCATTTTGTATCTGTAGCATTTACATCATATTTGAATTAATGATTTTTGCTCTTTTTCACTATGGTTCTCAAGGCTTTTTTTTTTTCTTCATATAATTATGCAAACTAACAATTGTTTTAAAAAGACCTTCGCGAGGATAAGCACTACTTAGCTGATCATCCGGGATTAGTTCCTGTGACCACTGCACAGGCATGGCTTCTCATCATTGGCTGCTGCTAGCTCTTTGGTTTTTATCTCTATTTTAAAAAAAACTGATTTATCTATGTATAACCAATCAGGGAGAGGAGCTCCGTAAACAAATTGGTGCCGCTTACTATATTGAATGCAGCTCTAAAACTCAACAGGTAATGGTTGAATCGGCTATTAATATTGCAACAAGTAGTTCTTTTGTAAGTTACATGGTGAAAACTTGTAGAATCATATAAAGGATCCCCATGGATTTCCACCCATAGTATTTTATGAATTCATATGATTAGTCAGTCTAAAAGACTATTTCCTCTTTACAGAATGCTCTTTTGCAGCCTTAGTCATTCTTCATATGGTTATATTTGGTTTTTCTATCAAATCTGGAGTCAAATCATAATTCAAGTATTCATTTGAACAGTTCATATATGGCAGATTAGCTAGAAGGGAAATATGAGAAGTTGGCGAGAAAGCACGAATAAATCAAATTTTGACATAAGATGTGTAAACATAATGAGAGTCGTCCACACTTGATCATTCAACAACCAATTAGTCGTAAACCTTTTTTCTAAAACTGAACAAAGTCTAAGTGATAACTGGGTCCTCAGAAGAGCATTACCTGACCATCTGCCCACAGGGTACTATATACCCATGAAGACCGGGCTATTTCTCAGAATGGACCATTCCTAGGGAAACATAAAGGTTAATTTTAAAAGAAATTGCGGTTTACTGGCTGGTATCAGTGTGTTTTGTGTGTATGAATGTTTTCCTGAATGTATAGGCAATAGTTAGATCATGCTGCTTGTTACACATGAGCCAGATTCTGTGATTCATCTTCTTTTGTAATACCATATGATTTTACTCAACAAGTGTCTTGGATATGTTTGGAATTTATAATGTAAATGAGACTCTGCCTTTTCAATGCAATATGCAGAATGTAAAAGCAGTTTTTGATGCTGCTATCCGGGTAGTTATCAAGCCACCACAAAAACAAAGGGAGAAGAAAAAGCCTCGTCCAGGATGCTTTGCGTTAGTAACTCTGTTATTATGCTCTTCTCACTAGTACTGTCCAAATAACACGACCACCACATTACTCTATTTGATTTACTTCCAGTGCTTGCTATAATCTTCATAAATCCCAAGTGCATGTTTACTACACATACTGACAGGATTGAATAGCATAATGAAAAATATTTTAGTTATATATTTCTTCTTTAACATTGTCCAGTACTAACAATTATCCCTAAAAAATGTAGCACAAAGGATAAAAACTTTGCTGACACTAGCTACTGTCATGTTGCATTGTCATAATGATAAAGAATCGAACGCCAACTTTGTTGGTGATAAAGGAAACTTTAAGAAGGATGACTGGATCAGTCCTTTCCTTTCCTATTAGAATGTTGATGTCTGTCATTTTCAAACAGTTACAGGATATCGAAGACTCCCAACTAGTCTAGTTTAGCTATGAAAGTGTTATTGTAGTCATATTAGATAATTGCAATCAAATGCTACCTTCAACTGGAGGAGAATCACATTTGTTGGTATCGTTAATTCCCTAGAAATTGCAAATATCAGAACTAAAGGTCCGTTTGATTGCCAAGATGGAATTTGGGTGGAAAGAAAACGAATTTCAAGGAATTGAATTTTCTTGAAATTGTTTTCCTAGGAATTGTAAATTAGTGTTTGATTGGTATAATTTTTTACGTGGAAAATGTTAAAATAAAAGTGTTTTTTATGTTCGTTTGGCTTTATTTTACATGAAAATTGTCAATTAAAGTGATGAAATTTACTTGTATTGGGATGAAATTTGTTTCCAAAAAAAATAAAAATAAATAAATCAAGAAAATCATCTATCTTTTGGTGTTCGTTTGACTTTGTTTTACATGAAAATTGCAATTAAGGGGAAATAATTTTTTACAATAATTCTTAGAATTTGTTTCAATTACCAAAAAAAAAAAAGTCAACAGTAACCGGGAAAATCAATCAATTCCCACAAAAGCTAGAAAATTACAACTCCCAAGAAATCCAAGAATTTAATTTCCATGGAAAATAAAACACTATCAAACACACAAAAGTTGGAAATTGGCATTCTAATTCCATTTTCCCTAGAAAATTGGTGTCTATCAAACGGTGCCTAACATGTTTAGAAGTTCCAGTTACACAGCTGTCAGCTGGAAAATATCTAATGTTGAAGCTTTCTTTGATAGCTTAAACTTCTAAATTATGTGGTTTAACATGATTCCAGAGTTAATAGAGAACCTGCACTTGAGATGTTGTTTTGAAGACATATATTAAGTAACTAAGTTTATCCAAGCTATGACAACCTAAGTTTTTAGGTGATGTGGTCAACACAGATATCTTATATTTGGTGCCTATTGTCAGATCCTGCCTTCGCCCAAGTACACCTGCACAGGCTATGAAGCTACCTCACTTTTACAGGCCCAGCCATCGTGTAAGGATTTATAATAGGAAAGTGAAAGAGAAACATGGAGCTCGGCTTCCAAAGTTTGAGTAAAACCATATAGAGAAACTTCAAAACATCAGATATGTTATTCAGAAATTGGTAGTCATCAATTGTCAAAATCACTTGTTCTTTGAACAAAAGGAAGGTGGTGAAAGGGTTGAATTTGATCAAATGGAATTTTTTGGGGCTTATCTTTCAATAATGTCAACTTCTCAGTATCATAACATTTGGTTTGGGATTGTTCTACAACCATTTGCTTGCATCTTGCAGCACCATATGGATCATGTTTGCCTAAGAACCCACCAAATTTTAAGCAGAATGTTCCATTTAAGCTAACTTTCAGGTCTTTTAATTTCATGAGTCCATTTGAAAGCAAAACCATCAATATGAATTTCATAAACCTTCATTGTGAATTCACCCTATATAGTTACATCTGCTTAAATTACATATATATTTATCCTTTTTCTTTGAACTCTCTGTCATTGGGTTCGACCTGTTATATGCACATGTTTCCTTCTATTGTTGGCTGACAGTCTTCATGCTTGCAATTGCAGAAATCTCTTCTGTGGGAGAAGAATAACCCGCTCAGAATGAGGAATGTTTTCAAATGCTCCTTGTTCAGTATCTCGACTACTTAAGAAGATAGACTAATTGATCTTCCCGACCCAGAAAAGTTGTATATTTCATGATGTTTGACATACTAGTATCATGCTCTATTACTTTTCTTTTAATACAAAGATTTGGGTTTAGCCGTACATTATTTGTCCAAGGTGCAAGGATTTCAGGAAGATCAATTTATTTGAATTTCAGGTTGTTTCTTTTGAGGTTTGTTGTAAAGCTAGAAGTCAAAAACTGTTCTCCACTACACACAAATTTGTTAGCTTGAATACGTGATAGCTAAAGTCAAGGATGTGAAAAATCAAAACGTCAAAAGCTTCGGCTTGTTAGAGATGATTCTAAATATTGCAGGAACATTAGTATTTATCCGACGGCAATATAATTTTATCAAAAAAGTTTGATTACAATCTAAATTAAAGTCAACAATTTGTTTTAACCAAGCATTATCAGTGAAATTAACGAAAAAGGTGACGAAAATCAAGTATTGACTGCATTAGAATGAAAACTGCAAAGAAAGAAGAGAAGCAAGGGAGCAAATGCACGAAAGAAGGGCACAATTTAAATTGTCAAGATGCGATTTAGGAATTTCTACAAGTAGAAAGCAGGAAACCAACACATTATATGAATTGCAATTCGATGCCTTATCGAAAAAGTAATGAAATTTCATGGTAGCAAATTTCAAACTGCAAAAATAGCATGCTTACTGGGTATCCACTACTATAATAGTAGCCTTTTATAAGTAAAAAGTAATGCTAACCACACTTTATTTGAAGGCTGCACAGCTCTCTCTCTTACCTGAGTATGTTGATCCAAGAACACACTGCTCCTGTTCTATGCTGCTCATGGGAGTGGATTCGGAATGGTAATATTTGCATTTATTCCGCCCCTTATCTAGTGGTTATGAAAGAAAGTTGAAATCTTTCAGGAATTCTTTCAATGCGTGAAGAAGTAATTTCATTCTTCAAAGGTTGGAGCTCTCGAAGAATTTGCATTGTCAAGCGAGCTTGCTTTGATCAATAGATTATCAATTGTAAGTTGTTATCAGTAACACGGGTATTCTGATTAACATTTGATTTTGAAACCGCATGAATCCTCATTTTTATTGTAGATAAATATAGTTTCTGCTGTTAATAAACCATCTGAATGAGCAAAGAAGTTCGACAACGATACATGATTTCATGTCATGTTATGAATCTATCCTTCTTGAGCAGAACATACCTTGGCAGTAATGTCAGACAGAAAATCCAAAATTGAAATACCACACAAGATATAAGAACTGAACCACTAGAGATTAAAGGCTTTCGCTTCCAAAATTGGGTGCCAACCTGGATACAAGTATATAACAGTGGAAAGGAGAATCAAGTGAAAGCTGAAACTAGATAAAATTAAAACAAATATTCATAAACGGGGGCTTCCACATCTATCAGTTCAGTTCCAATCACGTTTCCAGAATGGTTTCCAGGGACAATGCATTGAATCAGTATGGCCATCAATTTTCAGTATTGGAGCATAGGAGAATGCGCGCTTTCCAACACTTAAATATCTACAGACAGGAAAGTTATCTCCATCCCTCCCAGAAATGACCCAAAAACTAGCAAATCCCATGAAACTTTTGTCACAACTGACACTCTTAAGAGATGGGGGTCGGAGACTATGAACACGTCTACTCACTCACCACCCAATCTTGAAGGGAGATCCAGCCTGGAGATAATTCAGGATCAGGCTTGTGCGACCACTGGATGGAGAAAAAATGAGAAGGAAAAGTACACGTTAAAAGAAATGCAAAAGATAACCTCAATTCATGCACACTACATCTAGACACCAAAAGAAGTGTGCATTTTCAGGTGATCATAAAAGGAAAAGGAAAAAAAGAAGATGAAAAGAAGGGGAAAAAAAATCTCATTGCAATCATCTTTTAAATGCCTAAAAGAAAATGAAATTCCAGAAATATTATGCTCAGGGAAAGAAAATCTGTCCCAGCAGCTCTTATTCAACCTTAGTCCTTACACATGCATATCAGGTATTGCAACAGATCATTTTTGACACTTACAACTAAGCAGATAAATTTCCCTAAAACATATCAATCACTGCGTATTTACTACCAGGAACAGAAACTTATTATCATGCTTAAAGAATCAAGTTAGTTTCTCCAAGATCCGTTAGATTTATTCCATAATTCAAAGTACAAATACTTACAAGACTAGAAAAGGGCACCAGGTTCCCGTATATGGTTCCTACTGCCACGAAGATTATTTGTATCTGAGGCTAGTGCTTGTGAACCGACAACAGAAAGTTGCCTTGATGCCAGAGACAACATCTCCTCTACCCTCCATATCAACGGCACCAGGATCAGCATTGAGATCCAGACCTGGCCTGCCCCACTTTCTGTTGTTATCCAAATTACCAGTACCACTACCGTCAGGAAGGCTAACCAGATAAGGTCTTGGAAATTGGGATGAGACTGTACCCACATTGCCTAGAAACTGTGAATTTACAGGAGCAGTAAATAGCCTTTCGCCAGATGAGGAATCTATGTACGAGGTTGTCTCCACAGAGAACATTGCAGATGATAAAGGAAAATTGGTTCCGAAAGGAAATGCAGGGTATAGGAAAGAGCTAGATGGGAAAGGGATCGCAGGAGATGATGATAAAACTGGTCCCCGATAAATATCAGGTGCAAATGGGGTACCACCAGTAGGAGAAAATATTCTTTGTGGTGCACCAGGATGAATGACGGGAAAGTGCTGGTCCACTCGGTCCGGTAACATTGATGGAACTGTCACAGTTGAGTATGTATTACCAGGGCCGGGGGGAAACAAAGACGGGAAGTTGCCAAGTTCTAAATTATTCATTCTCAGGCCAGAAGTAGGAAGTTGAGAAAGCATACCACTCTTGCCCAGATGACTTGTAAACTGCTCAGCACTAGCATCATCAACTACAGGCCCATCATTTAGATCAAAATCCCTTCTAACATCCACTTTGAAAGTGCTGCTTGAAGAGCAATGCTCCATTTCATCAGCTTCTTCAACTTTGTTCAAATCAAGATCAAGTGCTACAGAGCCACAAGCAGGAGCAGCACCCATGCACTCATTCAGTTTCATACCTTGATTACTTATGAAATCAGATGTTGAATTGACTGCTGAATCAGAATCTCGAGAAGCCATGTCCTCGACAACTCTTTCATCTGGCACATTTAGATCGATATCCAACAAAAGGCGGACAAGTCTACTAGTAGAAGCATCAATGGAGGATACATTTGTCGACCCAAAAGGCATTTCAAAGGCCTTTCTGGGTTCAGCAGGTCGAAATGCACTAGTGGCAGCAGATCCCTTCCATCCAAGTTCACTTTTACTTCTCAATAGATCCTCTGGAGGAACAAAAGGCCCTTTTGCTGCGGCAGCCACTGTAATGGAAGGAGGAAGGACATTGGCCACAGAACTTACAGCAGAAAGCAATGGGTTAATCACATGAAAACTGGTTGAATCAGGGGCTATACAGTAGACTGGCTCCCCACATTTTCCATCATCTGCAATCAAACCTTCATTTAAGTCAAATTTTATCTCCGTCTCAGTTTTTGGAGGTGCAGGAGCAGAAGATGAGGCTTCTGCCAAAGACGAAGCACTTTCCTCAGTTTCATCTGATTCAACACCACGGAGCTTGGATTCTTTCAACTCACTATTTTTCTGTGCTTCTTCAGAATAAATGGCAAGTGAATCATTCTTAGGACGTGACATACCAGATCGGTGTTCTGCAGATTCCTTGTTCTGTACACTGGACAATATATTTTGACTCTTCATGTCATCGACAGCAGAACCTAAAAAAATCACACCTCGATCTTCAACATTAGACCTGTCAGCTCCTGCATCATAGTTGTGTTTTTCAGATTGGTTAACATAATTTACAGGATCCTTTTCATCACCTGTTTCTACCTTGACTGTGTTGTCATTTTCTGAAATCAGTTTCCTGTCAAACCCAGTACTTTGCACCTTTTCATCATCCCTTCTTTCTGTCAAGACAGATGTAGCAATAACAGCAGGTAGTTCATGATCCGCATGTAAGCCAGTTCTCAACTCTTCCTTCACATCATTTTTGCTGTCACCTTCACACAATAGATATGACGATACAACTACGGCTGCTTGACTAACACCTTCTATTTTAGAAAGATCATGACTGACCATATCCTCAGATACCAAATTATTATTTTCAGATGGTTTACAGTCTAAAATGGCATTGCTGTTAACATTACTTGAAACAACCTTTTCCTCATGAGCTTGTTTACTTGATTCACCATCTCTCATCTTTTCCATCGTGCCTGATGGCATCAAAGAAGCAGATCTCTTCATTTCACCAGACTTCTCACTGATATCCCCCTGAGGATCTGCACTGGTTCTCAAATCCATAGAGGCCAAGTTGACAGGTTCGATGCATTCTGTGATAGGCAAATCTCCATTAGCATGAGATGAAGAACATCTTCTTTCACCAGAGTGCTCAAGGGAAGCATGTTTAGAAAATATGCAATCCATTTTCAGACAATGAATTACCAGCTATAGCCTGATATTTGCTATCGCCATCAACTACATTAGAACACGGATTTCGGTCTCCAGCTATTTGATTGTCAGGAGATAACTTCAACTTTGCATCCTCGTGCGTGCAAATTTCATCAACTACAGGGGTACATCTTTCTGGAGAATCAATACACAAGACCAAGTCAGATCTGGACATATCTCCAGCAGCGACACTCACAAGTAGATTCATTCCAATATCATCCTCAAGTGACACAGATGAATTTGCTGCAGAAGACTTTACACAGCTCTCAATCAAAGCATTCATAGGGCTGACAGATGCTTCACACAACTTCAAGTCATTTCTTTTCAAGGCCTCAATGATTCTCCTGGATACTTCAGTGGTCCTAACTTTCTCTTCACAAGGAAGAGCTACAGCTACAGGCGACCCAACAGCCTCATCAGAGCCATTCATCACTTCCTTTGACTCGTTGCTTTGCCAAGATTCCATGTTCAGGTCTGAATTTGATAGATGGGCATCTCTCATTTCCTTCAGATTACCATAGATCTGATTGTCCTTCTCTGATTGCACTGGAGAAGCTCTACTGCTCATAATGGAAGGATCTTCTGAAGATGCTATGTGAGCACTCTGTACTGGAGCGGGGCATGCCTCGAGAACTTTTTCACTATTGAAGGAAGACCGA